GGTTATCACATGGCGAGTTGGGACTGAAGATTATGCAGACTTTACAAAAAATGATTAATTCAGGAACATCTCTAACCCACGGTACGCAACACTTGCCACACTTGTCATAATTGATGTGATAAAGTTCACACTCAAGATGAATTTATCAAAAACTTCACAAATTTAAGAATCTGCGCTCTTTGGTTTGTTAATACGTAGTATTAGTACAGCTAATCCATTTGTTTTTTCTCTTTGAATTGAAACGATTTTTCGAATGATTTCCGTTGTTTTCAACAGATTGTGGTTGTCCTTGTTTTACTTAGGTCAGAAATTCAATATTTTCCTTGCATAAAAAAAGCATAAAGGATAAAGCTCTCGGCGTTGAGCGATTTTAAATTTCGTTCGAGGCGATTAAAAGAAGATCTGGCCTTAACAATGCCTCGCGGTGGCCTCCCGCTGTAGCGAGCTCGTGCTGCTTATATTCCCAGATAAGTCTATGATCAGTCTGCTAGTGATCCACCGGCTCCGGGAAGATGTATGGCTTGGTGAGCCATGGGCACGAAATCAAACCATCGACCTTGGAAGTGACGCAAAGCACCTCTAACCACTGCGCCACATGCGCTCCTTTTTCTTGTATATGAGGTTAGAACTGCTCACATACACCCTGAGCAAGGACGTCCTTGAGATCACGCAATGAGGTTGTGCACTGAAGACGGTACTGTAACATGGTGATAAAAAAAACCTGAAAGGTTTTCTGGAGACCATTCATTAATTAGATCAACGTCCCTTACTGCAGAACGTGTCGATCAGTCGATCAGTGTCCAAAATAGCACAAATTGATCTAAATGAATGGTATTCAATGAGCCATGTGTACTTGCACGAGCTCGTCGACTGTAATGGATACTTCAACGCTTGTGTTTTGTGATGAAAATTCATTAATACTATATATTTTTCAATACAACTGTCAATTGATAGCAAAGCGATCTGGTCACAAATAAGATTCTTGAAGAAATTTAAAATTTAAGTACATATGAGATTCCGGGCGACACATAATCTTTGGTTCTTAAGCATAACTCATGCTTTTCTCGTTTAATAATTCACTGACCTTCATTTAACCTCTACGCGATTATACAGTATGTTTCTTAGATTTTTCAGTGTACACTAATTTAAGGATGATATTAATTTAGTTAACGTTTCGACATCCTCCTCTTCTTCAGAGCCGTCGATTCGATAACGATTGTCCACAGTCGTTCATTTTCGCGCAGTGGCCCTTGTAGTCACACAAGCCGAAGCTCCCTCGGTAAAACAGCGCTCGTGAGGAAAGCCTTACTTTCTGGTTTCTTCCTAAACGAAATCGATGTATTCGAAAATAACACCATGGATTGCCGACATGAAGACGACTGTCTATGAATAGCAATCAATATGAAGCAACAACCTTTTTTTAACACACATAACACGATCTGTCATAACAGAGCTTCTCAAAAAGCATTAAGTGTTTGGAGTTCCAAAAGAGTGCAGAGCAGGTTGCTGCGGCAAAACTACTGCGACTTTTCATCGAGTGTAATATTGTATACAAATGCCTTAATGAGTTGTGAGGGTTTATTCGCATAGATAAGATGATTCAGTCATTTCAGTTTGAGTTTCCTAGCACGTGCATCACCACAGAGCATCATCGAGTTTCTCCATACTCAGGAAATTTCTTTCTTTGTATAAGAAAACGTCTATCATGAAGTCAGTTTGGCAAGGTGCTGTTCTCTTGCTTCTGTCAGAAATCTTCTTCAGAATGCAATGCTATTGTGTTTCACCGGTGACAAGTTGTTCTATATTTTCTATAGGGCACTCAGCGTAGCGCTAACCACCAAACCATTTATTAATAGAAAAAATGCATGAGCCACAATCGGTAAGGGTTAAATTTCTGTGGCAGTCCCTCGTCCCTCATTGTAATTTGGATCGTGTGTCAACAAGATACTAATCGCGAAATGTGAATATTCCTGATCTCTTTAAGTCTGTCAAAGGTTGTGAAACATCGCAGAAATAATTTAACGTCACTTAGCAAGACGCTGTTCCACTTGATAGTTCTCGCAGGATCATTCATCCAGGGTTATTCATTACCATAAAGGTCGACCAACTAACCCATGTTTTAGTCATTATCAACGCTCGCTTGGAAAACATTATCTGAGAATGAATACCACTGTTGACTCTTGCGGACTTATTGTTTGGTGACCTATCAGCACAATGCAACACTTAGACGTTAGCAAATTCAGCTATGCAAACGATCTTGAACGAGAGCGAAATTCAGAGCACAAAATCGTGGTGCAAAGTGATTCCTAAAAAGTGCTATCTGCGAAACAGTTGCGCGATTCGAGCAATTTGGCTATTTCCTTGGCACCGTTAACGTAAAAGATTAATCATAATTGCTCAGTAGTTATAATATCCAACCTGTTAACGCTAATCTTAGTGAAATAAAATCCACAGATCTACAGACGGATCTGGGAAAAATGTAACGCCGTAAGATTAGTGTCTAAAATGGAGACTTCTCAAGAACACTTGCTTAAATTGTAATATGCAATGATCATATCCAATGGTCAATCAAGTCAACAATGAAATGAGCTGGGTGATCCCAAGCGGGAGAATCGCGTAGTAGCAATTTTTTCAGAGCATTGAAGAAATGGACTCACACGATATCAAGTTAAAGTGAGCAACACATTAACAGAAACTGTAAAAGGTTATTGGTATCTGAGGAAACGCGAGTTAGCTCAGTGAAGATCCCAAAGCTGCGATATCTGCAGTGTTCATCGCACAGTCCCCGTTCTCCCGCCTAGGATCACAGTTTTTCTGCTGCTTGATCTTGTGAATTCTTTGTTGATTACCTGATGATCAACATCCTCACTTAGATGCTATTCTCTATTCTGCAATAATCCCAATACGCTGATAAGGTGTGAACTTCACCGACTATTCCAGCTTTCATTCTAGCTATTGCTATTCCAGCACAGCAGGTTTCTTTTACACTGAAAGATAGGGCAACGAAGACTCCAAGAAACTGCTCAAAACGAAGTAATGTATCACAATTTTGAACGAAATTTATGGGATGATCAAAGATTAAGGTGAACAGCTTAGGAAAACGTAGTTTAAACGCGAAATTCAAGTACATTCACAAATAAAATTTTTGCTTAGTACGTAAACGACTAATTTTGACGCAGATCAAAAAAAAACCAAAGGTGGTCCTACTCTTCGCCATAAAAGGTGGCCATTTCTTAGGCATTTCGAGTTTCCTCATATCGACTCGTCGTATCTTGGCCGCAGGTCTTCTCCAACTTTCATCGTCACTCCTGACGTAACTTGTGGGAACTTCAACTCTTACTCCGGGTACGCTATATTTTAGAAAGAATTATTATATACTAGATTTGAATTCATTCTACGGTTCCATGAGGCCTTCACGATTTCCATACTTTCCGATCACTGTGATACGTTAATTGATGTTATCCGTAGTTCATACACTTGTTACAACTACCACATTGCTGTGTAGGTTCAAAACCGAGGAATGCGACAACGATACGCCATTTTGGGGTGAAGACTGGCAATAGCTGTCTACAAAATTTCGAAAACAAGAAGTCTGCGAAATGAAGAGACACCATGGGGATTCTCCGTCGAGTTGATGGTGTGAGTGAAATTCAAAATCTTTGGCTTGATTTTGAACGCTCTCGTTCGGCTTTCATATTTTATTTAGGCTATAGAGACCATTCACCGCATCGGGATTTAGTCATAGTTCTGGCTCAATTCCATCGCAACTCGACAACAACCACAAGGTACGTTTGTATCTCATTGATGTCTATATAAGGTAAAATGCCGGCTACGTAAGTTAAAAAAAGAAGGATAAAGCTCTCGGCGTTGATCAATCCCTGAGGGATGCGCCATGCATTCGACTTCAATTTTTAACTTCGTTTGAGATGATTGAATGCATATTTGGCCTTTACAATGACTCGCGGTGGCCTTCCGCTGAACCGAGTCAGTGCTGCTTATCCTCCCAGGCAAGTCTGAGACCTGTCTGGTACCAATTCACCGACCCCGGAGGGATGGATGGCTTGGTGAGCCATGAGCGCGAGATCGAACCACTGACCTCGTGTGCGACGCAGGGCACCTCTAACCACTGCGCCACATGCGCCACACGTAAGTTATCTTTGAAAAATGAAGCTAAAGAAGCACACGATTTGAAGAGGACAACTCAAATTTCGCTTGTGACTATTGAAGCAGATATATGTAAACGCCTCATTGTCAACCCCGTAATGGACCAACATCATCGCAGTCAGCTCGACTGCATGTAGAACCTGTTTGTGATCAATCAAATCGTTTTTTCGATATATAACGACTTTTGAAAAGCAGTGTCTGGGTGGTAACTCCCGCCTTAGATCGAATTTCGCTTACTCACTCAATTCTCTCAGATGTTTGTAGTGCCCCTAAGTCGACTGTTTTCATGACCTATAATAGTTAAAAAAAACCGATAAAAACGTCAGTTTGAAGGTACTATGAAAGTGTTTGAATCTGCTGCAGAGAATCGACTGTAGGTACGCTGGCAGCTATAATATTTCTTTCTGACAAAGTACTAGTGTTCGGCGCCCCATCTCTGTCATAAAGCGCAAGTGGGTTCTGAGGATGGCGATACCGCCAAAATGCACGTAAAGCGCGTTCGCAAGAAAATAAGTATGAATCTCGAAAAGGTTTGGAATATTTTAAAAGATTATATATTGTACGTTTTTCAACAGCCACTCCCGCGGTTCCACATCGCAAATGTTTTTGCACAGCACTCTAAATTATTGGGCATACTGTAACACCATGCCACCGCAAGTGGCGGTCAAATAAAAAGAAAGAATTCTGACCGATTATCGCAACTCTTTTTGAAGCTGTTACGCTCAACAAAATAAATGCCTTGATTGATGTCTCACTCTGCAGACCTATCTTGCTTCGGGATATCATAAGAAAATAAGAATATCATAGCGTTAAAAAAAAAGTGCTGTGCAAAACGAGCGTCCGTGGTGCAATGATTAGCATGCGCTCCCGCAAAGAGTGAGATCTGGGTTCGAATCCCGGTTGACGCAAATGTTCTTGCACAGCACTTCACATTATCGGGTATACTGTAACATCATACCACCGCAAGTGGCGGTCAAATAAAAAGAAAGAATTCTGACCGATTATCACAACGCTTTTTGAAGCTGTTACGCTTAACAAAATAAATGCCTGGATTGAGGTCTCACTCTGTTTGCAGGCTTATCTTGCTTCGGCAAATCATAAGAAACCTATCAAACGCTACACGTAACTCCTAAACCAAGCCATTACGCTTCGTACTACGATCAAATCTTTTTATATTACGACAGGACATGTTATCAAGAAGCAGCATCTACCTCAACGTAAGCAACTGAAAATCTGAGAAACTATTATTTTCTTTTCAAGCTATTTTTCTACCATTTTTACCATTTCCACCTACCTTTTCTCTTTCTTTCATAAACGTTTTGTTTGCGAATATCTAACGATCTCACCGTGTACAGATAATTTGTATTTTGTGTGCTCTAATCCCTTGTTATATAAATGTTCGTATGGCTTTTATTCCACAGCCAAACAACGAAAAAATAGAAAAAAAACGATAAGAATATGGCATCAAAAGTCCAATGGAAAACAGCAAGCTATCAGCAGAAAAGTTGTACTCGAGCGAAGAAAATTCTAATGGAACAGTCGGTAGTAGAAATATAAAAAGCATTGATAAAAAAATCACATAGTAATTGCAGATCAAGCAGCTCATGAGATCAGAAATATGAAGTTTAGAAGAAGCCTAACATATTACAGTAGCCTGATCCGACATCGTGCAGGCATGAAATGAAACATCGATACGGAAGAGACAACGGTCCGGTCAAGACCTAACATTCCAATTCTTGTAAGTTAACTAAAGCGGAGAAGAATAAAGCTGGCGGAAAATCATGATGGTGTTGATAAGATGTTCTCTTTGGCAATTTACATATACCAACATCATACATTCATGTAATGGCGTTTACCAATGTTGGAAATAATGTATGTCGTCAACATTCGGAACATCTTCTGAAAGACTCTTACGTAGGTGATCACAGAATTAAAGATGTTCGGTTTGTCGACAACCTCTCCTAATTCCAGACGATTGATATGTCGTACCTAAAAGGGATATTCCATATATGACGGAACAGCATATTCTAGCAGAATGGGTACTTTTCCGTTATCGGTACTCATTGATATATAGAGGCCTGTTCAACTGGACAGAGGCTTGCCACTACACTTTTAGTGACCTTTCGAAAGCCCGGCCTCACAAATCCATTAGTGTCTTATTTCTGAGCAGGCCTTCTTACTGCGCTGTAGAAGTGAAAAAAATTGAGTTGCACACGAGGCGCGTGTATTTTGTTACTATTTAGGGAAAATATTTCTATCTCGCACAGAATTTTAGGGTTTCGCACTGAAACTGCAGAGAAACTTTATTCTATCGCTTTGTGGAATTATGCCTTCGATTTTCATTTCATTAACAAAAACTCGCTACGATGCCTATGTCCGAGCAGTCAAAGCCTGTTCACGAAAAGTACGTGAACATCTAGAAACAATTGCAAATGTCAGAGTTATACGTTTTATCCAGTTTATTCTTTTAAACAGCAGAGAGAAACCCTAGGTTCAATAGAAATCGCGCTGCACTATTGGTCAGACTCTCCCAAAAAGAGATGACTTCAAGTGCGAAAGTAATCTTATTTTCGCTGCTACTGCACTCAAAGAAAGCTTTCTCGAAAAACCATTGAAATCGCAAAGATTTAATCTACTAAATGATTGGTAGAAGTGTAAGAGAAAAAACTATATCGAGCTCAAATGCACCGAAACTTGTCGAGTGTCAAACTCAACTGTATTCCTACTACTACAGCACATTAAGGAAAACCCTTTCATAAATGAAGTACTGCATCAAAAGTTGAGATTCGAGCTATCGAATGACTACAAAACTCTATAAAAAGCAAAAACGCTTTGTATCCAAAGGGTTGAAAACGATTACCTCGAACGGAAAAGTACCGCGAAATGAGTTACACCCAAAGAATTTTGCGATGTCATTGCCCTAGGGTCCTAAATGAGACCTTACGTTTTCCTTATATTAGGATTTCCAGTAATATGACTCTGCTACCTGTTTCCCACCTTTGTAATAATCCACGAAAACGAACCATTCCAATCATATAATCTGGCTGAGGAGGAAAACGTGCCCCCAAAATCCTTGTTAGACGCTGTTCACTCCACATCGGTCTAGGAAACTCTGGAACAACGTAAATAAATATTATCGCGACAAGAATCTTTACAGTTAGTTAATTCAGCTATATGAATGAGCATCGGCACCTTATGCTCGAATCAGAGATCAGAATCAACTGCCAACGAAAAATTCAAATTCAAGAAAACTTTTGATAAAACTGAATTTTTGTTTTGAGATTGCAGAATACTGAGAATGCTTTACTACTTTTTTCGACATTTACATTCATTTAACCCATAAAATAAGCAAAAAGATGGTCATTTACATACCGGGGACCTGAAAATGAGAAAAGTCTTTTTATCACATTTCGCTCACAATGGCTGAACAAATTGATATGTTGCACTCTCTGTTTATTTGTCTCGCTTCGTTAGAGAATGGGCTTGAAAGACCATGGTATTGACAACCTTGTTATTCACTAAGAAGAAATGGATGAATACGAGTTATCTCCCTAAATGTCTGTGTAAATCATTTCCATTATCAGTTGTAATTGTCTTGTTCGACGACGACTGGCTATTATGTCCAGTTCTAACTCGAAGCCGGCTGAGCATTGACAAATCCACTCGAGAAAATGCTATTTTGAAATTTATTAGGCATAGAAATAGTGTTTAACGGACTACATCTGTCGCAATATTTATTTTGACCTCTGACCCAAGCGGAAAAACTAAGGAAAAAACTCTTGAACGGAAAGCCGCCAGGAATATAAGCCGAAATAGATTTATAGGGCAGCTTATGTGGTACAAGGTCGGCGACCCAGTGACACCCATTATGGCACATTCTCTTGTAACTAGTTAAGGTATGCTATTCATCTGTAACACGTCATTCGTTGGATCAAGGCCGATGAATCCAGTGTAGGATAAGTGCTTGAAGGTCACGCCGCTAATTAGCGATCTTGAACAAGTGGTCGTGGATCGCATTTTGGGAGACCTCAAAATCCACATCGAACATCACCAGCGACAAACGTTCCACATGCACCTGAAATCAAAACAGTGTTCTAGAATAGTAACTTGCTTGGCAAAAAACAGCAATTTTTCTCTGCTTCAGAATATCGATTGAAATCTTGCCAGTAGAAAGGAACTTTCGACTACATTCTGTTTGGAATGGACGATCTCAAAAAGCTGTTTTTGTGCGTGGTAGAAATTTTCATTATATATGATATTCAACAAACATAAGGTTTACTGTTACGAAAAATTGCACATCCACTAGAATTGGACCCAGCAATGCAAGTATCAGTGCTCCAGTAAGTCAGATTCGGCCCGCAATTTGAAACTTCTTCAGATTCGCCATAACTAACTCGGAAGCCTCATATGTGAGATGTACCTCATTGTAAACTACAGTGGAAAAAACCCTCGAGGTCTCATGCTATAACACATTATAATTGCCCTCCTTTACACTTGCACAAAATTAAATGTAAAACTGTCAACAGAGCAACATGTCTTTTGAGAAGGTATTGTTAAGCAAATGACATCGCGTACCACGCAGTACGATAGAGTACCAGGATTTTCAATCTACGGCAAAGGACTGAAATCAAATGAGAGTGGTGGGTATTGCCTGTACGTTGGAAACTACACCAGCTTTTCTGGTGGCACAGTATGAAGATCAGCGACATGACGCTTGCTCTCCCTCATGAGTATCCTACACAAATACGCTTTTCGTGTCCTTCTGACCAGAAGAATATATTGGGCAACTCTGGCGCCGACATGAAAGAATACAGGCTTCACTAATTATTGCTTCTTCAAGTGTTGGACGATACTCGAAATAATTATATTTTACACTGATATCGAATATAGGTGCTTAAAAATATTCATAAACTTAGACTAAATAAAATGATTTCCGGACTGCAAAAAATACTACTTTTACTGAACTTTCTTCAAATACTACTTTTGGGAGGGCCGAGTGGTTGTAATACTCGGCGCGGCGCGTGTTGAGCCTAGATACATTTCCCAACCCTCTTTGGTAGTCAACAAGAACGCCTTACGAGACGACACGACCAGGCTATCCTCGAGATTACAAGGACACTCGCTCAACCAGTTTTCTACGACGTTCAAGAAAAGGACGAGAAAAACGAGTCAAATGATAGAAGTAGTTGGATCCGCACAGTGAAAAAAAAAACACTGTGAAGACGGATCAATAAAGTTTGAAAGATTGGCTTTTGATCAAATTGAAATTGTTTTACGCTATATTTTGCTAATTCCGCTATTCGTGTAAGTCGTTTAGACTACGTATATAGTTTAAGTATTGTTTTATACATTAAAACCTACTTTTCAGTGCTCCCAGACTCAGTGACAAGTGTTACTATTTTGGTGTGATTTTCCTTATCTGATGGTAAGTTCGTTATCAAAGTACACCACACACCTTTTGAAATGCTTGACCAGCTTTTCGTCGTCTTATACGCAACACCTGCAGTTTTACGTTATCTAAAGCCGTTTGATGAGAAACAATGAAGAGTATATTGGTTCTAGTCTTTTACTCGCCCTTATACACCACGCGGGTCTTAGGAAGGTTGTTGTTCGTTCTTATGAGGATACGGGATTTATTTAATAATTTATCCAATAACAACAGTATTATTCCAAGGAGCAGTTGGTGATATACGACTAGTGAGTGCCTGGTGTAAGTACAACGAAATAGTTCGTCTAAAACGAACAACCTGAAAGAACAAATGATAAAATAACGATAATAAAGAATATGTACAAATTCCTGACGACGAGTAGATTACGTCTCAGGAAACTATGTCTTCTCATGTGCCCGGAGACTGAGATTCGGCCATTATGATCGAGAGCAATGACAAGATAATGGACGAATGATTGAAGCGACAAGATAGCAGGATCACTAAACGATGAGTGAGTAACACGAAAGAAGGAACAATAGGTACGCGACCTCACAAAATTAGGACAGCAGCAAGAGTGACGGAGGGATGTGAGGGCACCGGCGTCGATGCTGGGTCATCATTCTCGAACTTTTTGTAGGTATTGTAGCGGATGTGGGGCACGCTCACCTCATATGGAACGTGGATGTTTTGGATGTTTCGAGAGCGAACAGTGGGCTGTTGCCATTGAAGGTTAGGGAAACTATCACTGACGAGGAGGGCGAGACCTCTGAAATACCGATGTATGACCCTGGCGTACCAACCTCGGGTAAGGCTTGAAAAATTCTTAAAAATCAAATAATAATGACCTGTTTTCAATATGGGAATTGGGAAGAAAAGTGATGTAGTCTAGAAGAGAAGAAAAAAAAGAAATAAAAGAAAAGAAAGGAAAGAGGAAGGAACGGAGAAACTTCAAAAGGACATAGAAGCTATGCCCAAATATAAAGAGAAGCTTTTACAGAACGAGACCAGAATCTCGAATTGTAAAACGTAATCGATGAAATATTTTGACTCCTTCGAGACCGTGGATCCACGGCCTCAGGTTTCTAATAGGCAACTCCGGATTGTCTGCTCCACCCCCTCTGCATCCCTATCCCCAGCTTACTGCGGCTAACAATGGCACGCTGAGGGTTAGAAGAAGCACCGTTCAAAATTGGCAATTAGAAATGCGGAGGCCGTGGGCCCACGGTGCTGAGATGATAAAATGGGACTTTCTCTCCTTCAACGAAAAATTCGTTAAAAGCATTACGGGTGGCCAGGTAGATGAAGGGAATCGTATAGAATAGACAGAATTTTGCAAAAGAAAATGGAAAAGAAATGGTCTTTTTCAGTACCATTAATATACGAAAGTCTCATGTCTTTGAAAGAAAAAAAAGCTTGCAAGTGACTTGGAATAGACAAATAAAAATAAACTGATAAATGAAAATAAACGAAAAAAAAGGAAATACGTAAACACGGGAAGGATTAATGTAGTTAGACGTGGTCCGTAATAAATCACAACTTAGCAAAAAAAAAATAAACCTACGACGACAATAAAGCTACTGAGCACTGACAAAAAAAATTACTATTAACTCAAAAAATGATTTGAAAAAACGCTATTTAGAGTTAAATATCTATTGATTCTGCCCAGCAGCGTTTTATTCTGATCTAGAATATCGGGAGCGCATGTGGCGCAATGATTAGAGGTGATCCGCAGCGCACACTAGGTCAGTGGTTCGATCTCGCGCTCATGGCTCACCAAGCCATCCATCCCTCCGGGCTCGGTAAAATGATACCAGAATGGTTTCTGACTGTCTGGGAGGATAGGCTGCACTGACTCGATACAGCGGGAGACCAGCGCGACTCAGTGTAAGGCCAGATTTACATTCAGTCACCTCAAACGAAATTAAAAATTGAGTATTGAGGACGAATGCATTTCGCATTTCTTAGGGATTGATCAACGGCGAGAACTTTATCCTTTACCGTATCAGAAATTACGGGCCTCGGTGTTTTGAAGCTCTAACCAGTGAAGGTTAGGCATAGCCGACATGACCGACAGAGACGCTTCGTTGTATTGAATTCCGATGAGCTCAGCATTCTTGGATACATGGAATTGTCAAATTATAACACTGTTTAGAAAGGGACTGTGGCCGAGTGGTTAGTGATGCTCGCAATACGAGGCCGATAACCCCTTCAACATCACTCCCTCCCTCCAACACCGACCAGCAATCAATAGCAAACGCCGCAGCACGGCTGTCCCCGAGACTGCAAAGAAGATTTGTCTGACCGATATTCCACGATGTTCACGAATAAGTTTAAATTCTCAACAGAGCTATGAATTCGTGGGAACGAATCGACTGCTAGAAGTACTGTGATCTATACAAGAAAATTTGAAGACGGGTTTCACTTGAATACTTGAATACTTAGATGCTCCGTTTTGACGAATTGTGCAGACCCTGATCCTTTGAGGACCACCGTTGATAGGCAGGCGGCGTCGCGCCGTCGCTTGCGCCACAGTCGCAGGAAGACGGCATCTGCATGTCTGCTTGCCTTCGACGAGACGCAACGTCGCCATGATCTGTGCATGCATGTCTGGCTGCCCGCGCCTGCTTTCCAACTAGGCGCAACGGCGTCATTACAGTAGTAGAGTGAGATTTCACATCGTGCGGGTTGATACGAAACAGACCATATGGTCCTCAAGGGGCTAACACATGAAAATATGCTGGTTTAGCTGGTTTGCTCTTTGGAGTCTCGAGATAAGCCTTACCGAGGTTTCCTCAGGTCGTAAGCGCATCAGAGCAGTCGTCGGCCTTTGTGGATCAGAGCGATAGTATCACCTTGCGATTAGTAGCTACTACGACGGTGATCATTTCTGGTACGGTTTACCCATTCGCAGGGCTTTTCGGGTAGATTCGTTAACCTCTCGTCGCTGCATCTAACAGACCAACGCAACCGTTTGAAAGGAAAATGGGTTTTATGAAATAAAGCAATAAAAACAAGAAGTGATGCTTAAAGAGGCAATGAAAATAGGAATCCTGGCAGATCGTTTATACTCAATAGCTGCCAGCTTGAGTGGGTTCAATGCCGATAGGCGCTCACCAGATCAAACCCGTCGATGGGGGCGACTGGTTGCTAACAGCATAGATATTTTATATCGAAGAAAGAGTGATGGCAAAGCGAAGGCCTCAGTGGTTAGTGCTTCGTACGCGCCCCGGCAAGGGTGAGACACGGGTTGAACTCTCGCCTGAGGTCTGCGAGCTTTCTATATCACCCAGCATGTTTGGTTAGTTTTTCTTCTATGTCTGGTCGCTTTTTAGCCAAGAAGGCCATTTGAAGAAATAAAATAAAAGAAAAATAGATGTAAGTTAAAAGGGAAATAACCGGCTGAACGACGGCTTGGAGCGCGGGGGCGACCGCCTGAACTAGGAGTTCATCGGTGCGATGTGACAAAAAGCACCTGCGGCAATAGACGGAGAGGAATCCTGTTTGGAAACGGTTTTGGCGGAAAAATTCAATTCGAATGCAAAATTTCCTCATTTTATAGCGGGTTCAGTTCGGTTATAGAAAGACAGATGAACAACCGATTCCATTTGTTGGAAGGATTAGAATCAGTGCCATCAAGGTATCGAGTGATTACTAATTGTCCAAAGAAAGAGCTTTGTCCTGTGAGAAATATGCGCGTCTAAGACATGGTTTTGTGTGGATTTTACAGCACTGTAAAAGCGTCTTTTCGAAAACCGGCCAAGGGCAGCTGTAGCCAGAAATCTCAGCTTTCGAATGCTTACTAACATCCTACGAAAAGTTCCTCTCCAGCGAATGGGACAGCTTTTTCATTTGTCCCCTCATGACCGAATAGTACCTTTTAGAGATTCTAAAAACACGGATAGGTTCTTTTCTGTTGAACAAAAACAAATTAGGTAGGAATCCCTTGCCAAGAACTTTCTGTGAGAGCGTTATCAATGATTCGGAAGCTTAAATCTCTGACCATGCGCTATATGGTCTTTTTATTTGAGAAAATCTTCATAACTCTATAGCCTGAAGAAAATAATTGTGGTCCACACATGCAAATTTCTCACAGGACGGATAATAATTAATAATAATAATAATAATAATAATAATAATAATAATAATAATAATAATAATAATAATAATAATAATAATAATAATAATAATAATAATAATAATAATAATAATAATAATAATAATAATAATAATAATAATAATAATAATAATAATAATAATAATAATAATAATAATAATAATAATAATAATAATAATAATAATAACAATAATAATAATAATAATAATAATAATAATAATAATAATAATAATAATAATAACAATAGTAATAATAATAATAATAATAATAATAATAATAATAATAATAATAATAATAATAATAATAGTGGTCTATAAATAGTCCAATAATAAATATGGTCTCAATAATCAATCAAAAATCATTTTTTTACCGTCGATTGCGGTGTTCTGATGTTTAGATAAACCCCAATGATTAGAGTGGTGTGCAAAAGTGTCTGCGTGAGCCTGGATTTGAACCCAGACCCAACTCTTTCCAGGAGCACGTGCTATACCGTTGCACCACCGACGCTCCTTTTGCACTCTACTCTTTCCACGCTAGAACGCGCTATCTGTCAACAACCAACTGTCTACGGTGTGGCGAGGCAGTCATTATCGACATTGAACCCACTTTTGTTGACAGAAATTGGGCTTCAATAATCAATCAAAAATCATCTTTTTTGTCCGCCGATTGCGAAATAAAGGGGAGTGCAAAACGAGCGTCGGTGATGCAGCGGTTTAGCACATGCTCCCGGAATAAGTAAGATCTGGGTTCAAGTCCCGGCTGACGCAAACGTTTTTGCGCACCACTCTGATTATTGGGGCTTTTTAAATATGGTCAATTAAAATTTTTTATTAATATAACAAATAGTCCACTAATAAGACAATAATAATCATAATAGGACAGTTTATAATAATAGGTTTCAAACATTCTTGCAGGATGTATTCAATGTTTATAGCGAGTTTTCAAGAACAGTCGATGAGATGGAGTTGATAAAGAATTTAACAAATGGTTGGAGTACGAGATGCTAATATTAATTAGCAAACAAGATCAACTCCTGTGCCGGAGATATTCTTCCTACTTAATTTCATTCGCATGTTTCAAATTCGGTCTTAACTGTGGTAGTGTCAGAAGTCTGATAGAATTTCTGAGCATTTTTAAGTAGATATATAATATATAAATAATTATATATATATATATATATATATATATATATACATATATATGTGCAATATGCGAACGTATACTTGTGCGTATATATTTGTTCGTTTGTATACGTAGATATATGTATGTATTTACACATACATATATGTATATGTACATATGTACACATCAATACCTTTCAATCTACTATTCTGAAACCTCGCTTGAAAAATCAGTGTAGTTTAGAAAATCCACTGCCAAAACCGACTACCTGAGGCAAACCGTTGACGGTTGGTTGCTGGTAGATAGCTGTTTTGTAGCGTAAGAAAAGTGGTGACAAAAGAGGCGCCAAGAGTGCAACGGGTGAGAGCACGCACTTCTGGACAGAGTGAGATGCGAGTTCGAGTTCCGCCTGACGTGAGTTCTCCACATCACTCTACATCGCTGGATAACATCATACCGCCGCTAAAAGCGGTTGAATAAAAAGAATCTGAAATAATCACTACAAGGATTTATTTTTACTGTTCTTATAGCAATGTCATGATGTTATAATCATTATTTATACAAAACTGCTGAATGATGTAGAAAACATTGAACCCCGCATTTCACCCATGCTAAGTGCTAACACTGTACCAAGAGGCGATCACTTTTCTAGCACTGCTCCTCGAACACGTAATCATTATATAGTTCGCCTTGTTGCATTGAATTTCGTCAGCCCTTTAAACTAGGACGCAATACATAGCACCAAGATGCATTTTTTCCTAATATATGACGCAAAAAAGGATAAAATGCATTGAACTTAGTACTTTCTTTTTCAGCAGTTTATATTGCCACACAAAGTTCATTAGTGGATCAATGAATAGCTTTGTCAGTGCACATAAAGCATCAGATGTGGTCCGTGAGAAACTTTTCTGTACATTCAGCAATTGACAGAGAACCACTTCCCTCCGAAACAATTTTATACCGAGAGACTTAGAGAGAGTATCCAGTATAGAAATTTTTTCCGCCATAAAGGAGCAGAGAAGTCTTGAACACTGAAGTTCTACACTTGCCGACAAAGCCTTGCGCTGCAATAAGACTAAAAATTGAAAGTAGCTTAAAATAGCATAGGATATGCATTCACTAATCTGCTCTAACATAAATCCCAGGACCGACTATCTATCGAGCTCGGCGTAGTTTGAATAAATGAGTATTTTCTTCTTCAAGCCGTTCCGAGGTGTTATTGATATTATTTATTGAATATCAGCATAACATTTACAATGCAGTAATAATGTAGCATGAATATACAATATTCGTGGTGGCCAACATTTCGACGGGTCGCCTTCTTCAAAGCCTGGAAAGATCAAACTGATCCACAATCCATTAAGCCAAAACCTCCATAACCTCAGCAGAAAATGTAAGAAATGAATCTTGGAAAGCGTAGTAAAAGCTTCATTTTGAATACCTCACCGTTTTGATGTTTTAGATCTATCAATTATTCATTGAAGACCAGCCGCTTAAGGTTAGTGCATCAGTGGGCTGTGTCTAACTAAGGCCGGAAAGATAATCTGAGGCATGGTGCGAGGGTCACGCGTGAATACGAGGCACCCCTGTTTTCGGTTCATTTCTGGGTCTTTGCTATGAATCCAAGAGATTTCTAGAGTTCTACGCGCAGATGCTTTAGATTCGTGTGCGAGGAATTGATAGGCCTAAAGCATCAAAAACGGTGAGTGTTCTGAAATGAAGCATCACTATGCGATCCAAAATTCATCTTTTGCGTGTTTTGCTGGGGTTATGGACGTTTTGATGTGGATTGTGGAACGGTATGATCTTTCCAGGCTCTGAAGAAAACGAAACGTTGGCCACCACGATTATTGTAATATTCATAGCGCATTATTAACTGTATTGTTGCATGCTTGGCTAACAATCAATAAATAACATTAATAATATCTCGGAACGGCTAAAAGAAGTAAATACTCATTTGCTCTAACATTCTTTCTCTAAAAAAACCATTGTCGAGTCAATTACCACCATGACCAAACTCAGGACTTTGTAGAAGGCGAAACAATCGAAACATCAGTCACTACTGTCTCGTCTCTCCTCATCAAGGAAACAGTGATTTGGCGGCAAATGATTGAATGGCAAATGTCACCGTAACCTTTCCTCTTTCGAACGATATCATTAATAATATCACTAGATTTATGTAGTCTACATGGCATTACCTTTTTTCATACAAGTTCTACATCATGTCTGCAGTCAACATTCGAAGTATGCAATTTTTACCTGTATGCCATCGTTTATTAGAAGCTTGCATTTCGCATCAAGGTTACACTTTATGGGAGAAGCGTGTGGAAGTTTCAAACAATTTTGTTTTCTACAAATACTTTGATGACTGCTAACGTGTTCCAGATGTTTTCTACGGCAATAAACTGATCTTGCATCAGACAACAATCTACCAAAAGTACTATTCGCATTCCTGTCGTCCAAAGAACCCAAGCGATAATTTATCCTAGCAGGTTAGTAGTAAGTATACGTGTTTCGGCTTCAAATGGTTTAACGAGGGCTGAACGCAGAGCAGAAGCAACCAACCCTGTATTTTGCTAAGACGCAGTTAGATACAAATGATGGAAAGTGTGTTTACGTCGTGCCTTTACGTTACTAATGGAAAATGGGAAATGGAAAATGGTTGAGTCGCGTTTGAATTTGGTATAATTTTACTCACAGTGTACAGCGTACAGAACGGAAAAGATTCGCAATATCCTTTATACTGCCAAGAAATCGTTAGAAATAAGCTGGCGTAATACTGTCTTGAAAGTTTCAACTTTTCTGTGTTCGAAGAAACCTCGTATAGAGATACGTACGTTCAAAGTGAGACGGGGACGACCTCTATCAACAACTATGTGTACTTGAGGAAGTTATAGAAATCGAATGGGCGAACAGTTGTAAAGAATTTCTCATTTTGGGCATAGTAGCGCTTAAGGGCAGATCTTAAAGAGGTAGAGGATCAAGCATCCAAAAGTGACACGCACTGGAGACACTGAATAACACGCCACAAGAGACAGTCTCACTTTTTTATATTGAACAACAAAGCGATGAGTGTTGCTAGGTGTCTTAGCGCTAATTTTACACCCGAAATCGGCTCTGACAGCCAAAACTCAGTAATGGAACTGTCCATCAAATATTCATCACACGCGGCTGTGAGTATACCGTAAATGTGGAGGAATTTTAACCATGACACCAAACTTTTTCTGTTTTGAGTGAGTAAACTTCTGTTAAACCAGGTAAACTTTTCTAAACACTAAGACGTCTGTTAGAGCATACATGAGCATCTAGGCCGCTGCTATGTCTTCAAAACCAGTGTGACGAGAAGCTTGAAGTTTTAGCCAATTTATCTTGTAGATCTTTGTTTCTCACTTTTGCGAACTGTGGTGCTAAACTTGTAGATCCCCATTTACCTTCCCTTATATCGGGATTTGCCATTTTCTCTTTTGCTAAGTGACTCACACGGCTTGAAAATATAATTTATTATTAGAAGCTAATATAATATAAATCATGCACTCTTCGTACCCCATGGGATCGCCAAATTCAGGCCCAGAAATGGAGTATAATAGATTTGATAAAGGTGTAGCAGGTGGAGATAGTATGGTGCTAACTTTTATGCATTGCGCAGCCGAAAATGGTACTTCTCCTGCTTGGTGGTCGCTCCAGTGAGCGAAAACGGCGATGAAGGAGAAATCGTTAACTGCTTTCTGTGGTCGGAGCAGTTGCCGTGTAAGCTGGGAAAGATGTATTAGACGTTCAAGCTGGAGAAGTGGCAGCAATAGTCGTGTAAGATGGAGAAATGGCAGTAGTCGTGTAAGCTGGAGAAGTAGCCGTGTAAGCTGGAAAAGTGGCAGTAGCCCAATAATTCTTTGCAGTCTCTTCGTTGAGCACGTACCTAAAATGAATAAAATGACTTTTCTTCAAAACATAAATAATTATCGGCTGGAAGGTTCTATCCACATGCTTGACAGTAGCAGTGAGTCATCGACTGAAAACGGTGGCACCAGCGAAATTTCGCTCAGTGGAGGCCGAAACATGTGCGACCCTTCCCTACTATTAGAGGTGTGATCTGTAAGGGTTTGTGGCTCTAGTGAGGCGGGCAATACCGTCGAAATGCACGTAAGTTACTGGCGCAGAAACCTCACAAAGACTAACTTTTCCAGAAAATTAACTAATTTTCTTTCCACATCTGTAAATATCACAGTTGTCATTAACGACTGTGCTGCTTGTAATTCAAAAAGGTGAAAACTCACATTTTGCTCATCCACGGATTGGCAACATTGCCAAGGAATCCATTGTGTGACAGCTAAAAATGTCTCACGTTTTGGTCTGATTGAGTTACCACTATTACTTCAAACATTGACTAC